GTATTTGATGGTTCTCTGAACAACTCAAAATTTCCACTACCGGTTCTCCAGAACTGGTCAGAACCTGCTGAATACCACCTCTGATCTTGGAGGTCTTTTAGTGCTCAAGCAGGAGATCCTATACAACTTGAGGCAAGTGGCTGTCCAGTCTCTTCTTAAAAACCTCCAGTGATGGGGCACCCACAACTTCTGAAGTCGAGACGTTCCACTGGTTAATTGTCCTCACTGTTAAGAAGTTTCTCCTGAATTCTAGATTGCTTCTCTCCTTGATTATTGTCCATCGATTGTTTCTTGTCTTGACTTCTGATGCTTTGGAAAATAAATTGACCTTCCTCCTCTTTCTGGCAACCTCTCAAATACTGGAATTATCATGTCACCTCTAATCCTTCTTTTCTCTAGACTAGCCATACCTAGTTCTTGCAATTGTTCTTCATCTGTTTTTGTCTCCAGGACTTTAACCATCTTCGTTGCTCTTCTCTGCACTTCTCAGTCTCAGCATCTGTTTTGCAAAGAGGTGACCAAAACTGGATGCAGTATTCTAGGTGTGGTTTTGCTAAGGTTTTATAACCCGATACTGATACTTCAAGTGATTTGGATTCTATGCCACTGTTTATACAACCAAGGATTGTCCATGGAGATTCTCAGTCAGAACTGAAGAAGCTTCTTGGATGAGAACCGAAACATCTTCAAAGAAAAACCAAAAAGTCCAGTTGCCTCTTGGGAATAAAAGCACCTTTGGGGCAGTCAATGTTTGCATTAGTCAATCACTGGAGGCTTTCAAGAAGAGACTGGACTGCCATCTGTCAGAAATGGTGTAGGGTCTCCCGCTTGGGCGGGGGGGGGGGTTGGACTAGATGACCTATAAGGTCCCTTCCAACTCTGATTATCTATTATTAGCTTTTTTTGGCTGCTGCCTCAAACTGCTGGCTCATATTTAAGTGATTGTCAACTAGCATTCTGAGGGACCATTCCAGATTGTCTCTGCTAATCCGTGATATTAAAATCATACTGTTCTTACTAACATCCCTACAAACAGCAGCCAGGAACATTTGCCAAGGCATAGATTTGTTGATTGGAGTAGCAGATGGTCACAGGAGGTACTGTAGGTCTGTGCCACACCAGTTGTTGTCCTCATTCTTCATGCCTGGTTTTTATGCTTTATGAGGGAGAGACATGGCTAAATCCAGGCTGGTACAGATTAAGTCAGTTAATCTGCTCATTGTATTCAGGGAAATTCATTCTACTCTAGCCTCAAAAAAGACAACCTTAGCTAGCTTATAGAGATAAAGCTTCCTTAGAGGTTGTCACATGCTTACAAGAAAGATTAATCACAATTACTTTGAAGTAAATATCGTTCAACCAAGCACTTAGTACTGGCTGACTTATGAAAATCCCATCTGTCAGTATACATCAAATTAACTATAATATTATTAACTGTTGCCACCTAATTTAAACAAATATTATGAAATGGCTTTGATGTAACACAACAATTTCATCACCGGTTAAGTGGTTGTATTTCTAATCGAAGGGTCTTGATCAGCCAACGTAGGATTTATTTCCATCCTTGAGGTTCCACAGGGCTTTCAATTTATGCCTTTCCCTAGAGAGCTGGTGTCCTTATTTGGTGGAGTTCACCTAACTAGGCCATAGTTTGTCTTGACTTGGCTGAAGGTCAAATCCTGATCCAAATTATCCAACAGGCTAAACTGGGATCAAACAACCAGAGTCTGGTAACTAACCTGGATGGAGCAATGATTTGGTTTTAATGACATTTCTTATGATCCAGGACCCCAATTCATGATTTTTCCTGTTAGAAGGGATGATATCAAAGCCTACACCCTTCCTCCCTTCCCTTCCTTCCTTTCCTTTCCTTCCTTCCTTTCCTTTCTTTCCTTCCCTTCCCTTCCTTCCCTTCCTTCCTTTCTTCCTTCCTTGCCTTCCTTCCTTCCCTCCCATTCCTTCTTTCCTATCTTTTTCCTTCCTTCCTTCCTTCCTTCCATCCATTCATCTCTCCTCTCTCCTTTGTCTCTTCTTCCTTCCTTCCTTCTTTCCTTTCTTTCCTCCCTCCCTTCGTTTCCTTTCCTTCCTTCCTTTCTTCCTTCCTATCTTCCTTTCTTCCTTCCATCCATGAATCTCTCCTCTCTCCCTTGTCTCTCCTTCCTTCGATTCTTTACTTCCTTCCTTCTTTATTTCCATCCATCTCTCCTTTCTCCTTTTTCTCTTCCTTCCTTCCTTCCTTCCATCCATCCATCTCTCCTCTCTCCCTTGTCTCCCCTTCCTTCCTTCCTTCCTTCCTTCCTTCCTTCCTTCTTTCTTTCTTTCCTTCCTTTCCTCTCTTTCTCCCGTCATCCTGGTCCAAAACTAATACAGTAAGCAACTTTAAGATGGGTAGCTGGGGAATTCTGGGAGCTGAAGTCCACCCATCTAAAAGTCACTTGAAAAACCCTAGTTGGGAATCTAGACCTCTACCTAGTTTGACTTTCTTGAAACATACATCGCAAGCAAAGTGCATTCTTTTTCCGTCAAAGACTCATGTTGAATGGGTCTGTTTCCTGATCCTTCCTTGTCCATTAACTGTCCCTAGAGTTTGAAGGCTTATGTTCTCCACAGTTGTGTCCCACCTCTGCTTTCATACCTTCCAATCCATTTGCAGCTTGTGTGTGTGGGGGGGTTGTTTGTTTGTTTCTTTAGCAAAGAAAAACGGTATTATTCACACCTGCTTGAAATCCACCTAAGGGCATCGGAGCTGACCTTCATGGCTACACCAAAGGCATCTACTCGGGGTGGGCTGCTGGGGGGTTTGCAGGCAGGGGTGGGATTCAAATTTTTTAACAACCAGTTCTGTGGGCGTGGCTTAGTTGGTGGCCGTGGCTTGGTGGTCATATTATTGGCTGGGCGTGGCCGACTCAACATCACTCACATCGAGGCACGCATCTCCTCACCTGGCCTCTCGTGACTGTGGGGATGCTGCAACAGTCATAAGTGTGAAAAACGGTCATAAGTCACTTTTTTCAGTGCCATTGTAACTTTGAATGGTCACTCCACACAAGCAAAGTACCAGCAAAGGAGGGGGAAAAAACTCCAGAGACGTTCCAGAGACAGGAAGTCTAGTCCTGCCAAGAATGTAATAAGGGTTAACAGACAGGCAGTTTCTGTAAGCAACACCAGAATGTTTCCTTTCTGCCTTCCTTACAGGATTAGGCCAGTAATTTCTTCTAACAACCGGTTCTTCGAACTGCTTAGAATGTTAACAACCGGTTCTAGCGAATAGGTGCGAACTGGGAGAATCCCACCCCTGTTTGCAGGGGTTCAGGAGATCCTCTAGCTAAGATTCTCCGCAGTTCAGAGAACTCCCAAATCCCACTCCTGGCTGGCTGCACCCATCCCTCCCCTCCCCTCCCAGGAGTCCCCACCTGGCCCATTTTGGATCCCAGGTAAGTGCAGGGCACACACAGAGGCTGAGGGAGGGTGAAAAAACTGGAAGTTTCGGAAGGCCAGAGATGGGACCGTTTCCGGCTTCCAGAAAGCCTCCGGAGCCCGAGGAAGCCATTTTTGCCCACCCAGAAGCTTGAGGAACGCCTCTGGAGCCCGGGGAGGGTGAAAAAACACCCCCCCCCCACAGTGCAGGAGGCCGACTAGGCCACGCCCACCATGGCCACGCCCACCCAGCAACCAGGCAGAGAACCCTATTGCTAAAATTGGCAGCAATTATTTTTTCTGCAGTTCCAATTATCCATTGAAGTCTGCGTCTGCTTTGTTTGGTTGCAGAGCCAAACCAGACAGTTATATATAAAAATATATAGTTATATATGCCAAGATATTTTTAAAAAGTTCCTTTTCCTTCCACATCCCAAGAAAACTATTAGGAAAAAAAACCAGAACACTTCTATTCTGAAGAAACAAGGATATGTTAGAATACTTTATTAGAATTAGAATTAGAATTCTTTATTTATTGGCCAAGTATGATTGGACACAGAAGGAATTTGTCTTGGTGCAAATGCTCTCAGTGTACATCAAAGAAAATATACATTCATCAAGAGTCAAGAATCTTCAGGTACAACACTTAATGATAGTCACAGGGTACAATAAGCAATCAAATCATACTAGGAAACAGTCCATATAACTCGTAAGGATACAAGCGACAAAGTTACAGTCATACAGTCACAAGTGGGAGGGGACAGGCGATAAGGAGTGATGAGAAGATTAATAGTAACTGTAGTGCAGACTTTGTAAATAGTTGGACAGTGTTGAGGGAATTATTTGTTTTAGCAGAGTGATGGCTTTCGGGGAAAACCCGTCCTTGTGTCTAGTTGTTCTGGTGTGCAATACTCTATAGCGTCATTTTGAGGGAAGGAGTTGAAACAATTTATGTCCGGGATGTGAGGGGTCTGTAGATATTTTCACAGCCTCCTTTTTGACTCGTGCAGTATGCAGGTCCTCGACTGAAGGCAGGTGGGTAACTAATAACTATATATTGTTTTAAAGTGGGGAATAATTCAGTTGCTGGAATTTCTGTAAACCTATCCCTCTTGTCTCAACATATCATGCTAAAGAGATGATGTGACAATCTTGCTTGGAAAGAATGACTTTCGGCTAAGAAGGCTTGCACCGGGTTTACACACCAAGCCCCCCCCCCCCCCCCCCCCCCCCCCCCCCCCCCCCCCCCCC